AGAATTATTATAGCCTGAGCATTAAATTCTCACACACATAAAGTGCAAGGAAAATTGAAGACTATATTACCGAAGAATCGCAGTTAAAAGGGGCCAGAGAATGTTAAATGAACCTTCATTTCCCCAAGAACCATATTTCTCTATGATTGGCTTCTTAACATCGTGTGTTTTTCCTTCAGCCTTAGCCTGCGCTATTTTTAATAGCCTCTCTTTCTTTTGAGCTGTTCCTCGGGCCTGTGCTTGAGAACCATCTTGAATAAGCTCGTTGCTGCACATGGAAAAGGAAAAAAAATTTATCGTCATGAACAGAAAGCTTCACAATGGTACAAGAACAATTAAACTTATTTAAGTCAAGCAACAATAAGTTTAACAAAAAGGCAATTGAAAGAGGCCCCTAATAACAAGGGCAGATCATTGTTGGATCACCAATTTTTTCAGCCTCAATCTTACTCCTATACTCCTTAATTACATTAACACGATCCTCATTCCCATGACTCTCTTCTTCTGCTTGATGGAAGAGATGATTCTCCATGAAGCCCTTCTAGCGCCAATAACATTTTTGTATGCCACAGAGAGGAGGTTCCTTTCCTCGACAGTCAACTCTTCCGTATTGACTGTCTTTGCTACCTTCTCCATAAACTCAACCATTTCCTCGTAGCGCTCAGCCTGTTCGGCTAATTTGGCCATGTATACATTTTCCTCACATGATGAATCAGCTGGCGACATTTTTAATGTGCTATATAATACTCAAATCTGCACAAATTTTGGAGAACCTTGAAATGTCAAAATACTAATTAATATGCCGAAACATCTATGTAGAAACTAACTACAGACCAATACTAATATCTAAGATAAAACCTCAGCTTTGTATTTAACTGCACAATTACAACTTTGATTAAAACGCTTTTCATTCAACAAACTACATCTTATAATCCAACATTGTAAAATTTTCAAATAGCAAAAATATAAATAAAATCAGGATAATGAACATACAATAAAATTAAAAAAAGAGGAGAACTGCATGATTCCCAATAGAAACTCATCCATAAAATACAAAAAGAATAACTCGAAAATTTATCTAAATATGCTCCCATCAGATTCCTCTACTCTCTTTCTATAATATGATTTGAGGTAAAATTATAGCCCGCAACTCACACAGATTTAATTATTCCTTCCCATAATTTATAATTTAACAACATTCAAATTAAAATTAATATATTCAATGCATTTAAAGTGCTAGAGCGTATGTTGAACTGGAAGATAATACTGGAAAGCTAGCTGCTACTTTGTTTGGTGAAGTAACAGAACAGACACTTGGTTGTTCAGCAGTTGAATTGATGAAACATGTTGGAGAGGTATCTCTTCAATTTTTCAAGAATTATTATAGCCTGAGCATTAAATTCTCACACACATAAAGTGCAAGGAAAATTGAAGACTATATTACCGAAGAATCGCAGTTAAAAGGGGCCAGAGAATGTTAAATGAACCTTCATTTCCCCAAGAACCATATTTCTCTATGATTGGCTTCTTAACATCGTGTGTTTTTCCTTCAGCCTTAGCCTGCGCTATTTTTAATAGCCTCTCTTTCTTTTGAGCTGTTCCTCGGGCCTGTGCTTGAGAACCATCTTGAATAAGCTCGTTGCTGCACATGGAAGAGGAAAAAAAATCTATCGTCATGAACAGAAAGCTTCACAATGGTACAAGAACAATTAAACTTATTTAAGTCAAACAACAATAAGTTTAACAAAAAGGCAATTGAAAGAGGCCCCTAATAACAAGGGCAGATCATTGTTGGATCACCAAGTTTTTCAGCCTCAATCTTACTCATATACTCCTTAATTATATTAACACGATCCTCATTCCCATGACTCTCTTCTTCTGCTTGATGGAAGAGATGATTCTCCATGAAGCCCTTCTAGTGCCAATAACATTTTTGTATGCCACAGAGAGGAGGTTCCTTTCCTCGACAGTCAACTCCTCCGTATTGACTATCTTTGCTACCTTCTCCATAAACTCAACCATTTCCTTGTAGCGCTCAGCCTGTTCAACTAATTTGGCCATGTATACATTTTCCTCACATGATGAATCAACTGGCGACATTTTTAATGTGCTATATAATACTCAAATCTGCACAAATTTTGGAGAACCTTGAAATGTCAAAATACTAATTAATATGCTGAAACATCTATGTAGAAACTAACTATGGACCAATACTAATATCTAAGATAAAACCTCAGCTTTGTATTTAACTACACAATTACAACTTTGATTAAAACGCTTTTCATTCAACAAACCACGTCTTATAATCCAACACTGTAAAATTTTCAAATAGCAAAAATATAAATAAAATCAGGATAATGAGCATACAATAAAATTAAAAAAGAGGAGAATCGCATGATTCCCAATAAAAACTCATCCATAAAATACAAAAAGAATAACTCGAAAATTTATCTAAATATGCTCCCATCAGATTCCTTTACTCTCTTTCTATAATATGATTTGAGGTAAAATTATAGCAACTCACACAGATTCAATTATTCCTTCCCATAATTTATAATTTAGCAACATTCAAATTAAAATTAATATATTCAATGCATTTAAAGTGCTAGAGCGTATGTTGAACTGGACGATAATACTGGAAAGGTAGCTGCTACTTTGCTTGGTAAAGTAGCAGAATGGGCACTTGATTGTTCAGCAGTTGAATTGATGGAACATGCTAGAGAGGTATCTCTTCAATTTTTCTTCAAAACTTGAGTTTCATTATAATGAGTTATTTCAAATATAAATGGGTTTTATATCAATTTTGTAAACCTATTCAAAATTTATTTTGTAGGAAAATCGACTATATGTTAAAAGCGTTGTAGATAAATTATAAAAAAAAAATTGGAAGATTCAACTTTTTGTAGATCCAGAGAAACTGAAGGAGAAAAAATATAGGCATTTTAATGTCCTCTCTGTTAAAACAATGCAAGATGAGGAAAATGCTGGATCGTCATCTTAGAATCAAAATTATCTTAAACGCCTTTCATAAAACTATTGAGTTATGTTTATTTATAGGACTATTCCATGGATTCTATTAATGCACTTTTTTTAATACATCACAACGTGTAATTATTTATCAATTACATAAACATTACATCATTAGTTTTTTAATTACCTAAAACAATTACATCTTTATTAATAAGAGATTTATTCTTAATCAAATAAATTAAATATGAACTTAGCATGCACATTGCTTTCACCTAGTATATTAAAAATCATACATCTATATCTATAATATATTAAATATCGCATGAAGTGAGAATAATTTTCTAGACGATTTTAGTTTTACTACAATTTAATTATTTCAATAGTACCTTACTTTTCATTTTTTAATATATATTTAATAGAATATTAATTATTAAACATATACTAAAATAAATAATTGAATTGTACGAGAGCAATCAAATTGATTCATGAACATGAAATTTAATTAATTTGAATCAATGTATATAGAAAAAGAATAATGTATATACATTTAAACAAATGGGGTGCGAGTGAACCAATGTGAAATTTAATTAATTTGAATTAATGGATATTAAAAAAATTATATACATTTAAACAAATGGGGTATACATGAACCAACATGAAATTTAATTGATTTGAATCAATGAATATAGAAAAAGAATAATTTATATACATTCGGACAAATAGCGTTTTATCATAAATTAAATGAATAAAATTGAAATTAAATAAGTGTGCATGAACTTTAATAATTTATTTACTTATATAATAATTGAATAACTCTCAAATTATATGATCATTAATAATTTATATACTCTAGAGTAATTTATGATAAAATGAATAATATTGGAAATAAATACGTGTTCATGAACTTGAATAATTTATTTACTCTTAAAATAATTAAATAACTCTCAAAACATGCGTACATGAACATGATGAACTTAATGTTATATTTTATATATCCATAAATAAGCGTTAATTAGTATACATGCACATACATATATAATCGAATTGTAGTATTTTTTGAGTAATTGAATAGCCTCCAAAATATAGAAAGTGTACGTGTATAAACTTGAAGAATTAATTGATTGAATTATAGTAAGATATATATAAATTAATGTTAATTATTATCATACACGTAAATAAATAATTGAATTGTATAAAAATTTCATTTCACATATACAATTTTTTAAAACTATTTTTTATATTAACTGATTTTAAATATTATTTTTACAACGTTTAAAAAGTATTTCAAAATAACGTGCAATGCACGTTTAATCGTGACTCGTTCTTCAAAAAATTATTATTGCGAAAATACCTACTAATAAATGATACGACAAAATATTAAGAATAATGCTATTTAAGCTCATTGAGATTTTAACTTCAACCTAAGTGATATTAGGTTATAGGTCGGATGAAATGCGATGGCCACATCGACTTGGTATGAACCCAAACAAGCTATATTTTTTTATAAATACACGATTATTTAATTACGTTGAATGCCATTAGCTTCTATTCATCATCACACTTATATTCTTTACTTTTTTCTTCGTTGAATTTTTTTTTGTAATATCTCATTAATTATAAAATAGTCATTAATCATGATTTTCATTCAAAATTATTGTTAATGTGCTTTAAAATAAGGGTCAAATATTTAATCACATTTTTACATTTTTTAGTATTATTTGTTTTGTTTTTAACCAAAAATACAATTGGCAAACAAAATTTTATACTCTGTCTTAGAGAAAATTTTGGAGAGAACTCATAATCAAGAACAATTTGCGTTGATTTGATAATAAATATGCAATTTAAAAATTTTTAGATATAAATGCGATAATGTATAAATATTATAAGCATTTCATGCAATTGAAATATGATCTACTTATTAAAAATTATGGTGTAAATATATTTAGCCAATAGTAAATAGTCTAGATATTTGGCATTTCTACATGCAATAAAAAGAAGTAGCCTTTGAAGGCATCATTTCTAAGAATTTGTGTCATTGTCGTCTCTAAGGATTTTCTGTTATTTCTCCTCCTTCTTCTTTTGTCGAATTTGAAACTGACATCGTTTTAGTTGAACTAACACAAAATTAGTGTTGAAGATATTAAGGGTTTCATTTTCTCACGCCGTCATTTCTTTCCAACCCATTTTTGTTCTCTTTCTCCCTTTACTTGGTTTTTCTTCAACTGTTGAATCGTTGTGTCGCAAATTTCACAACCCTAATTTCTTAAACCTTGATCCAAATTTATGTATTCAATTTGAATTTTTAAAAACTTTTATAAACATTTTCAAGTTAACGACTTTTTAGAATTCAGTGTAGAATCAATACTTTCATTTCAAGATTAAGATTATAGAATTCATTTGACTGCAGACTCTATGGGTGGGGGTGGCGGGGGGGGGGGNATAAAAACTCAGTGGTTAATCATCGAGAATGTGCAAATTATATATTTATAAAATTTTACAGGGTATAATTGCACTATTGTCTTAGTATCATATTGGTCCTCGAAAATTTCGAAAAGCAACCATGTCTTCAATCTTTCATTACACATGCGCAATAAATCCTTAATTACGGAGCCTGTCCAAATCTTTGTTAATCTAAGGAACTAAAGTTTACTTCTCAACTTGAGTTGATGCCAAAAAACCTTAAAGGAAACATGGTTTAAGAAGAGCTACACGACAATATCGAACAATTTTCTTGATTGAAAACTAACCGCAAAACTATAATAAATATAAACAACCAATTTACTAGTGCAATCTAATGTCAGAGAGTCAGCATAAATCGTCACGCTACAACTATACAAAATTTGGAGAGTCAGCATAAACCGTCACGCTACAACTGCTTTTGAAATTTTTACTTTTTAAAATATATAATATTCTGAACAATAAATGGTAGTCACACCCCCATAGTTCACCGATTTCCAAAAGCCTTTTGTGTAGTTCACCGATTTCCAAAAGCCTTTTGTGTTCTATTTCTTGAATGTAAGAACTGATTTTCGAGCAAATCATATGGTGAGTGAGTATCAGCAAGATAATGTTCATCATCACAAGAAATTGTGTTTGAATCAATTATGATTGATGCTGAATATAATGTTGTGCTTGTAAAAGAATTATGTTCATCAGCCTCATAATAATTTATCGTATAGGGCATCAAAATTTTCAAGATCGACAACGTGTATCAACAATACTAAAAATTATTTTTGATTCCAATTATTGTTGTTAGTGTCAATTCTCACCCAAAAAAAAATAAATAAATAAATACTAGTAGCCTCTTAAAAGTGTCAGATATGTGAAAGTAAAAACAATTGCCGTTGATTGTGAGTACGTTTTCTAAAAATACTTATCCGCGTTGATTTGAGTATATTTTGGTCAAATTTGTTCCTCTATTTGACGCTTGGAAGATGAGGAATTTTTTCTCGAAACGTTCAGGAAATTTATAGTATTCGTATTCAAAAATCAAAATAGAGCAAATTGGTGCTCGATAAATCTTTTTGGCCTTCGAATCTAAATTTTCAAAGTTAAAACAACTGACTTCAAGACGTCATAAAAACTCAGTGGTTAATCATCGAGAATGTGCAAATTATATATTTATAAAATTTTACAGGGTATAATTGCACTATTGTCTTAGTATCATATTGGTCCTCGAAAATTTCGAAAAGCAACCATGTCTTCAATCTTTCATTACACATGTGCAATAAATCCTTAATTACGGAGCCTGTCCAAATCTTTGTTAATCTAAGGAACTAAAGTTTACTTCTCAACTTGAGTTGATGCCAAAAAACCTTAAAGGAAACATGGTTTAAGAAGAGCTACACGACAATATCGAACAATTTTCTTGATTGAAAACTAACCGCAAAACTATAATAAAGATAAAACAACCAATTTACTAGTGCAATCTAATGTCAGAGAGTCAGCATAAATCGTCACGCTACAACTATACAAAATTGGGAGAGTCAGCATAAACCGTCACGCTACAACTGCTTTTTAAATTTTTACTTTTTAAAATATATAACATTCTGAACAATAAATGGTAGTCACACCCCCATAATTCATTGATTTCCAAAAGCCTTTTGTGTTTTATTTCTTGAATGCAAGAACTAATTTTCGAACAAATCATATGGTGACTGAGTATCATCAAGATAATGTTACTCATCATAAGAAATTGTGTTTGAATCAATTATGATTGATGCTGAAGATATTGTTGTGCCTGTAGAAGAATTATGTTCATCAGCCTCATAATAATTTATCGTACAGGGTATCGAAATTTTCAAGATCGACCACGTTTATCAAAAATACTAAAAATTATTTTTTGATTCCAATTATTGTTGTTAGTGTCAATTCTCACAAAAAAAAAAATTACTAGTAGCCTCTTAAAAGTGTCAACTATATAAAGTAAAAACAATTTACTGTCGTTGATCGTATGTTTTCTAAAAATATTTATCGGAGTTGATTTGAGTATATTTTGGTCAAATTTGTTCCTCTATTTGACACTGGGAAGATGAGGAATTTTTTCTCGAAATGCCGTTCAGGAAATTTATAGTATTCGTATTCAAAAATCAAAATAGAGCAAATTGGTGCTCGATAAATCTTTTTGGCCTTCGAATCTAAATTTTCAAAGTTAAAACAACTGACTTCATGATGTGCAAATTATATATTTATAAAATTATACAGGGTATAATTGCACTATTGATCCTTACCATATTGTCTCAGTATCAAATCGGTCCTCAAAAATTTCTAAGAGCAACTATGTCTTCAGTCTTTCATTACACATGCACAATAAGAGCTTGTTTAGGAGGGATTAAAATCAGATTAAAATTGAAAATATAGTAGTTGGAGTTGACTTTTATTAGACGAGTGAGACCCAATAACGGCTATATTTTTAATTTTAATTGAATTTTAATCCTTCCCAGACAAACTCTAAATCCTTAATTATGGAGCCCGTCCAAATCTTTGTTAATCTAAGGAACTAAAGTTTACTTCTCAACTTGAGTCGACCCCAAAAAACCTTAAATGAAACATGGTTTAAGAAGAGCCACATGACAATATCAAACAATTTTCTTGATTGAAAACTATCCGCAAATAACTTACTAGCACAGTCTAACGTCAGAGAGTCGGCATAAATCTGTCACGCTACAACTATACAAAATTTGGAGAGTTGCACGAGTATGTCATACGACTACTATACAAAATTTGAACGATTTTTACGATAAAGGAATAAGCGTGCCAATCATAACAAAAAGATTAATAACTAACTTGCTCGAGCGTACCACGGACGACATAATTTTCCATTTTATATATAAATATAGAGACGTATATAATTTTTTGGAGGAGGAGGATCTCTATTAATAGAATAGAATATAATGTGGGTACGCAGGATCGAAGCCTAACCAACCAGCCGCAACACGTAAGACGTACGGAGACCCTCAAGTCAATATCGTTTATTAAGCATAGACGCAAAACCAACCTACGGAGAGAGAGAGAGAGATCAAGTATATAGTAAATAGAAATGCTTTAGACTTTTTTCAGAGAGAGAAAAACCAGACAAGAAAGATATTTTTGCCTACGCGCAACGCCTCCTTCGATCGCGCACCGCGTGTTCTTCTCGAAATTAGGGTTTCTTTCTTCTTCGATTTTATTTTGTATGTCCCTATTCGTTAATCTGCCTTCTTTTTATGTGTATGTAGTAGATTTATGTAAGACGTGAGTAAATGTTACCGATTTGTGTCGTTTTTTTTATTTATATAGAAATGGGCCGCATTCTGATAAATTATTGCATATTTGCATACATATTTTACTTGTGTAGACGTGTGTGTATGGAAAAGTGTAGAACAAAATTGGCCTTTTTATGTTTATATGTTTGCTCATGGTTTTACTTTTCTTCATTTTGATATGTTTTGAACAGGGTTTGACGCGAGAATCTGCAGTATAAAATTGGGATTTTTTTTCTAAAGATTTGATGGTGACGAAATTTTTGGGATTTTTATTGGAATTCCGGTGCTAAAAGAGGATTATTGAATAGAAAACTGAGGGTTTTGAGGATATATTTTTTTTCTGGGCAGGGAAGAATTGTAGGATTTTCGATATAAAAGAGAGAAGGTCTGAATTTTGATTTTTTGAGTATGCCAACATCGTGGGCTGATTCAGTTGAGAATGCGGCACCCGTTGGTGGTGTAGGGACAACATCCACTCAGTCCCATGGAGGTCGATCGGCTTATGTTCCCCCGCATCTTAGAAATAGGCCGCCCTCATCAGACGTGTCAACAGCTCCTGTTTCCTATGCCACTTCTGCTTTGGGTAATGACCGCTCGGGATACAGTGGTCTGTCCGCAGGTGGGAGTCATTCCGGTGGTCCTAGAGGTGGTGGTGGTGGACGCATTGGTGGTGGTTGGAACAATAGAAGTGGTGGTTGGGATCGTGGAAGGGAAAGGGAGGTGAATCCTTTTGGAGATGATTCTGATACAGAACTGGCATTTGGTGATCAAGAGAATACAGTCATCAATTTTGATGCTTATGAGGATATTCCAGTGGAGACTAGTGGGGAAAATGTTCCTCCTCCTGTGAATACATTTGCAGATATTGATCTAGGTGAAGCATTGAACCAGAATATTAGGAGATGCAAGTATGTGAAGCCAACCCCTGTGCAGCGGCATGCAATACCAATCTCAATCGCCGGCCGAGATCTGATGGCTTGTGCTCAGACTGGTTCTGGAAAGACAGCTGCCTTTTGCTTTCCCATAATTAGTGGAATCATGAGGGGTGACCAGTTTGCTCAGAGACCGCCACGCATGCCACGTATGGCATTTCCACTGGCTCTCATTCTTTCACCGACAAGGGAGCTTTCATGCCAAGTGGGTTTATAATTTCAACTTTTTCTCTTATCAAAAAAAAAAAAAATTTCAACTTTTTCTGACAGTATGATGTATCCTTTGTTTGTTAGCTTAGTTATGTTGTACTGAAAATTCAACTTTGCTTCTTGGCATTTCAGATTCATGATGAAGCTAAGAAATTTGCATATCAAACTGGTGTCAGGGTGGTTGTTGCTTATGGTGGTGCACCCATTAATCAACAGGTCTTTTTTTTTTTCCTTCTTGTTATATGTTTTTCCATGTTAATTTCTGCATCGTTGACTGTATATTTTCATTTTGTGGAAAATTCAAAATTTGTAAATGAATTGCATCTCCGCTTGCATGTGAGCTGTGGTTTATTATCCTTTTTTTTATTTGTTTCCTGGTTCCACATTTATGGCACACTTTACATGTGTTCTGCTTGCATTTTATAATGCATATTTCCCAAGTTTGTCAAGTTCAATCTGAACTTCGATCTTTGAGCGGCTATACGTTCTCAAGCGATGTCTCAATTTTGTGGCTCACATTAAGTCCAGTACTTCTGTATTGCTTTGTCAACAACTTAAACTACACTTAAGAAATGGAGCTTCTCTTGCTGTAACTTTTTATTTTTATTTTGGTAAAAGTAAATTATGAGAAAACGTTACTGAAAATTTATTTCTTAAGGGTCCTTTTTTTGTAAACCATGTTAGATCTGAGATACACTTCATTTCATGTGCTAACTGTTCCTCCACCTGAGGAACTGCTTCATTTCATAGTTAGTTTCTTGAGTAAGCTTGATGTATTTGACTCAGTTGCTACGTTTATTTAGTGTTATTGTATCCCTTTCTTGGTAATTGCTGTTAAATTCAACTTGGGCTTAATTTGTTATTTTATACTATGGTTGATGATTTCTGGACAGCTTCGAGAACTTGAGAGAGGTGTGGATATACTTGTGGCAACTCCTGGACGCTTGGTTGATTTATTGGAAAGAGCAAGACTCTCATTGCAAATGATTAGATATTTAGCCCTAGATGAGGCAGATAGAATGTTGGATATGGGTTTTGAACCTCAAATAAGGAAAATTGTCCAACAAATGGACATGCCTCCTCCTGGCATGAGACAGACAATGCTGTTTAGTGCCACTTTCCCGAAAGAGATACAGGTCTGTTTTCTGCTTTGAAAGGCATCAACACCAAGATACTTAAATCTATTGGTTCAAGCTTATGACTAGATCTCATAGGACTATACTTTCTCTTCTGCATACAAGTGATACAGGCACTGAACGGGTTTATAGACTAGGAACCAAGTGTATAATTAATATCTGAAATTGCTTGCCAGTCGCCAATTCACGTATTTATGGTGTTGATAGACTTTGTGCCTCAGCATTTTGATTTCGTTTTGCAATGACACAAACTCGAGTATTCTTGAGGATTACAGCCCATTAAAATATCCTCTATTCCTTTGTGTACAAGTGTACTAGGTGCACCATGCTGCAGAATGCTAGAAACTAAGCTGTTCGTTTGCACTCTGATGTAAGTCAGATACTCACACGCTTACACGTTGCTGACACTTTAGGGTTGATTCTTGAATATTGCCTCTACTTGTCGAATTAGATAGACACAGAATTTTTATTTTCTACCCCGATTTGAATCTAGAAATGGGATAAGATACGTGCTCTTTCTTTTAATTATTACTTTTTCCTGATCTTTTGCAACTTGTGGCTGGCATACAGACACTGGCTGCAGATTTTCTATCTGGTTACATCTTTTTGGCTGTTGGAAGAGTTGGTTCTAGTACTGATTTGATTGTCCAAAGAGTTGAATATGTTCATGAGAGTGATAAAAGAAGTCATTTAATGGACCTCCTTCATGCACAGAAGGCAAATGGTGTCCATGGCAAGGTAAGATTGTTTTGAGTTGGAGTGCTTCCACATAAAGCTTGGCATGTTCCTTTTCCCCTTCTCCTCTTCATTTTCAGTACTGCCATCGTTTGGCTTTCTTTTTGGTATTCTAGGTACGTGACTAAAACATATATGCAAGTCTTTCATAGGAGTAATATAAAGTATAATATTCAATGCTCAGGAGATTGGGGTTGGGGAAGGAATAGGGAGGGCTGCTCTTAGAATTGTGTATGTATGTAAAAGAAGTTTTCAGCTTGGTACAGGAGTGAGCTTAGAAAATGCTTTCAAAAGTTGCATGTGAAGTGATATTATGTCCAAATGCTTCATTTTCTTAATTTATTTCAAAGGACAGTGAACTCATTTGTGATCTATATTATGTCAAAAATAACTTCAGTGCCATTTAGCTTTACCATCTAGTTTAATTATTCTTGTTTTTATACTTCCAATTTGCAGCAAGCTCTTACACTGGTTTTTGTGGAGACGAAGAAGGGTGCTGATTCACTCGAACATTGGCTTTGTATCAACGGCTTCCCTGCCACTGCTATTCATGGTGACAGAACACAACAGGTTTGTTTGACTCGTGCTTGTGGGATGGGGCATACATCTTTTATGATTGGTTTAAAACTTGTTTTTCACATTTTTTATCATCTTTCCCTCATCTCTTTCCTGCCTCTTTCTTCTAGTTCCTGACTTTCTCTTTTAGTTTTGGTTTCTATTAAATTGAATCTATCTGAATACGCTCGTTCATTTCTATTAAGGTTCCCGTGGTTTAGAAAATGGGTTATCAGTGTTGGAATGCTTTACTAGGCAGCAAAAAACAATTTGTACGACTGATTGTGGTTTGTTCTAAGATTGACATTGATTTGGAAACTGATGGGTGTCTAGATTGAAATTGGTAAGGGACGGGAAAGGGCTAAGGCCTAGAATAGAGCATGAAAGAATACTTTTTATGATTGATCTGCATGCTGATAAATAGGCTGGCAAGGGTGAGACAAATTCACACAAGAAAATAGAAAATTTGCATTATTGAACTCTTCAAGAATAAGATTACTGGAGTATTTATGCATGTAAAGTACATGGGGCGGTCACTGAACTTTTAATAAAATTTTATATTGACAACTAAACTTAATTTATTTCAAATTGTCATTGTACTTAATATTTATTTTGAGTTGGTCATTCCATCCATATCCGTTATTTTGACTAATGGAAAAGGTGGCGGGACAGTCTAGTTATTTGACAGCTAAATTGCCAACTAGACTGCAACATCAACTTTTTTGTTTATCAAACAACAGACATGGACATAATGGCCAAATTTTAATTAATGTTTAATTTCAGTGACCAACTTAAAACAAAATGAAGTTCAGTAACCAGCATGAAGTTGCTAAAAGTCCAGTGACTATTGGTGTTAACCTTTATTTATGAACCTGAAAGACAACTTCAACTAGAAAAAGGAGTAGGAATCTACTGACTTTAATTCTAAGAGTTGATGAAATTTTTTTAAACAGACTGTCTAATACCCTAGCCACCAGTGGGAAGACCAAAATACCTGGACTCTAAGAGCATCTCCAATAGGCTTTCTACTAGTCTCATGCTCTTTATTATAGAGAGCTGGTCCTCATTTTAAGAAGTCCAACAAGCTCTCTACTTTTAAAACTTAAAATAATGAGTGGATTAGGCTCTCCAAATGTAGAGAGCCAAACCCCCACTCTATATTATGGTTTTAATGATATCATTAATTATTTTATTATCAATGCACTTATTGGAGGAAAGCAAGTAAAAAACATTGAGAAAAATGTTGATTCGTAATTATTCATTGGAACAAGCCAATTAAAGAATAAATAGGGAGAGTTTGTTGGACTTGTATAAAAAAATTCACTCTTTATTTTCGAATATTCATCAAGAGGCCCTCAATATAGAAAATTATTCTCTTTAAAATAGAGAGTTTTGTTATAAGATGCTAAAAGTTATTTAACCTGTTTAAATGATAGCATCGTAAGCATCCCCACTAGATTTCATTATGTTCACCCCGATTCTTGTTTTTATATAATCTACAAGGTTTTTTTTCGTTGTTTTTATATAATATCTTTGTTAGTTTATTTTACTATTACGGTTATGTTTCCTTGTGTAGTTTGGAGTTCTAGTCTACTCTCTCCCTCTTACTTTCCTGTATGAGCCTAAATATCGGGGTAAACAGAGATAGAATGTAGGAATGATTCTTGAGATTTTTCTACGTATTGCATGTAGTCACAGCCTAAGAAATTCAATTAGCCCCATCCTCACGCTTTTGGAGTCACTTCAGCTAGAAGTTTTCTCCTTATTGCGATTCTTTTATTAAAAAATAAAAAATTAATTTAATTCTTTTTGTTAATTTTCCATGTCTGTAGGAGAGAGAACAAGCTTTGCGATCATTTAAAAGTGGCATGACTCCAATTTTGGTTGCGACAGACGTGGCAGCACGTGGTCTTGATATCCCTCATGTAGCACACGTCGTGAACTTTGATCTTCCAAACGACATTGATGATTATGTCCACCGTATAGGACGCACTGGCCGTGCAGGTAAAACTGGGTTGGCAACTGCCTTCTTTAACGAGAATAATACCTCCTTGGCAAGATCATTGTCTGAATTGATGCAAGAAGCAAACCAAGAAGTACCTGCATGGCTGTCCCGATTTGCAGCCAGATCGACCTATGGGAAAAATCGACGTGGAGGAGGCCGATTTGGTTCTCGTGATTTCCGAAGGGATTCATCCTTCAGTCGAGGTGGTACTGACTACTACGGTGTGGGGAACATGGGAAATAACTACGGTGCTTCTGGTGGTTATGGCGGAGCTTCTGGTCCTGGTGTGACTAGTGCATGGGACTAACAACCTATAATTTGCCCCCAGTTTGGCTATTGCAAAATACAGTTTCAAGTTTTATCTAGCAAATTCATGTTCTTAGAGGGAACCTGTGGGCTTTTGTTTTTTCGAATTCTACTTTTCAGCATTGAAGTCCTTCAGCTGAACCCCAATCCCTGACTGAGGGTGGGTTGATATGGGGAATAAGGATTGAGATGTTCGATGTTGGCAAGCAATGGAGAGATAATTACTAACCTGTTAGGATTTGCAGTGTCTTCTTCTACTTCTTCCTTGTGTCTCTTCACATTCTTGAAGACCTTTTTTTTTTTTTTTGATGATGTTGGATTCTGGAGTTGTGTTGTGGGAGGGGTAGAGGGTTCAGTTAGTGCCAGCATTCTACTTTTACATCTCACAGGTTTATTATTTTCGAACTGTTGGTTGTAATTTCCTTCTGAGGATTCCCATCAGGATATTTCAATGACTGATTTTAAATTTTGATTATGTTGTAATATTCTACTTAGCACCTCATGTATGCATTTTTCATCCTTTACAGTCTCAAAAGAGTTTCTAATTTTGTTTTATTTCCCTAATATACAATCTTATAATCATCAAGAAATTGCTTGAATTCCCCGTTTAAATTATTCAATATATACCTGAAAAATCTTCTTCTAAGATTGCCGACCACTGTCACCACAGCCGAGAAAGCCTGATCTTTACAAGAACTGAGCCACATAAGTTCCCAACAGTGAAGTAAATACTATCAGAAGGCGGCAAGTCAACCTTGATCTCGTCAACATCAAACCAAACAAAGAATCTCTGGACCTGAACGCCCTTTAAAGCTCCAGGCAGTTAAAGTTGGTATGGAAATATTGTTGCACAGCATGAAATCCTTCTCTATACAAGTTCTCGGATGAGGTTCTTGAACAGAATTTCGGCAAGAGTCGTAAGCACTGCAAGCTATCTCGTACTAAACGAAATAGATTCGACTTTACATAACCAAAAAAGTCAACCACAAGTCATAGCATTCAATCTTTCTTTTTTTTGGGTATGTTGTTGTGCAAGCGAGGAGCGAAGGTTGTCTGGTCACACTTGAATGTATCTACTTATCATATTTCTCGGTAGTTCCGTAACATGTTTGGAAAATTCTATTTATTCTGATCACGCTGGAAAATTCTGTTCATTCTGATGTAGATAACAGACAGACCTATATTCCTTTATTTTGATAGGACTCTCCTCATAAGCGCAGAAATCAATCCTATACTCATCTTCCGAGTCCCAATAATCTTTTTCTCATAATAAACCAAATAATCAAACTGTGTGTAGCACGAATTCTTCAGGTTGACTGCACATTTGCCATCGTCCGAGTGCGTATGAAGTGACTGAAACTGGCAAGAGCCCACTTGGGAGGCCATATTTATGGCAAGAGGATTTCATATGCCGTTGGGGCGATTTGAACTCGGGATTTGACGCCATTGTTGCTTTGATTGGTAGATCAATTGTTTAAGATTTATGAAGGGACTGAAATGGGGTAAATTTCATCTGAGGTCACTGAATTCTAATCCAATTATGAATTTAGTTCCGAATTTCACATCTCCATCGAGGCATCAATTATCGTCTCCCAAATTGATGAAAGTTGCTTAGTTGACGATCATGCTACAATTAATTTTCCACATAATTGTTGTGTGACATGGTAATTCGGTCATAAAAATGTTGAAATATGTGGTTTAAAAATTGTAGATTTCATGAAATATATAATTAAAATTAATTATTTTTAGCAAACACCAAACAAGAATTTTAGCAAACACCAAACAGGGCCTTAATCATGAGCCGGTGACGAGCCACGTGTTGGCCCGGGTTCGAGCCGACATCCCAAAATGGGGATCAAATTGAGCCCGAGGTGGGCTTGACTCGGGCTTTTTTCGAGCCGAGCCCGAGCCGACGAACTTTTTTGCCATCCCTAGCCATACGTGCTGCTTCTAGAACTTTAGACGAGCTGAGCTCCATTTCTTAAACCTTTATTTAATGCAATCAAGTACCTTTTATTCAGGATTGATGCACATAGTTCCCTTCACGAGAGTTGGATGGGAAAATTCATTTGTACAATCATTAGAGGGGTGTGAGGGGTGTAAATTTACACTGCTCTAATAATTGTACACATAGCATATTTGGAGTTGGATTATCTCGAAAATGATTTTTTGGGATGCGATTTTTATCCGCTAGTCCTACTCTGATCTGGTTCGCCTCCCATATTGTGGGATCTTGCTATTACCATTTCACTCAATACACTTGATCGGAGTCTCTTCTTCTCAAGTTGATCCCTTCTTTCTTGGACCAGAAAACACGCCAGCTTTGGAAGTGTCAAGGACTGATGGCATGTTTGTCTTGGCGTCTAGTGTCTTGTCTAATACTACATAGGGGACGATTCACTAGGGGAACGTGAGATGCAATCATGCAATGAATTCGAATGAACATTGACTCTTTGTGGGTTCCATTCATATATATTGAATTTAATTACTCTCCTGAGACTTGTTTGGGAATGATTAAAATCTAATTAAAATTGAAAATATAACCGTTATTGGGTCTCACTCGTCTAATAAAAGTCAACACCAACAACTATATTTTCAATTTTAATCTGATTTTAATCCCTCCCAAACAAGTTTTAAACAAAGTATGGACATGTAATTTTATATTATTTTGTATATAAGAGCATGTTTGGGAAGTGTTTATAAACAATTTAAATTATAAAAATATAAAAATAAATGATGGATAAATTACATGAGCCAAACATAGACTAATTATATAAATTTAAAACTATGAGAATTTGCTATACTTCTTATTGAAAAAAAGGTGCATAACTATTAAAGTTAGAGTGATGTTACAAGAACATAATTGTCTACATAATTACAAGTGACATTGATCAAAACTTTTAATTCAAATCTGACATTTTCACGACGACAAGATGATTGACACATCACATTATGTCATTCATTATGTATATTTAATATGTACACTTAGCATTTTTCTTAAAATTAATATTGTATAAAATTATTCATAAATGAGTAGGTTTTCAGTTTTCTTGGCCATTTCTTTAAAAAAAAAAATAAAACATTTTCCCCAAAAAGAGGTGCAAACCCTGCTTTGTGGGCTTGTACCTTTCCTGTTCCATAGTACCGAAAACGAAACCCTTCTCGCAGTAGTTCCTCCGTCTTCACATAGCACGATCTCTTCTGGCCGATTTTCACTCCTACGTCAACATAAATTCATAATTTAGATACGTATATACGCATACGCAGGCCTCAACTCATCTCCTTCAGGTAGCTCGTGTGTGAAGGAACAGGTAAATTTTTAATTTTTTGTTGATGAATTTGGGCTGATGGTGAAATGGAGGATTTGGAATGTTAAGCATTCTGCTAGTGTATATGTTCAACTTTCTAACTTTTGGCAGGGAAAGGAAAGTAACATTTTGATTAAAACTGTTGACATGATGTACACATCACTGAACTTTAAAGAATTATTATATCTGAAGCTCTTTATTCTTTCAATTTTTTTTATGGCTAACTTGTATTCAGTTTCTACATCGTGGGTTTTACAATCTTATATATACTCTCTGAGCACTTTTTCTTGATATACTACCCTGTTTCTAAAGACTTCTTATATGATATACTCTCTGAGCACTTTTTCTTGAATGTTCATGTTATTATTACGGCTGCATCAAAGATCCGTACGCAACATGATACACTATTAAAGCTTTAATATGTATTACGGCAGTTACAAAACATTTATGCTATATGAAATTGAATAAATGGGTAGTTTTTCTGGTTCGGAGTTTTTTGATCTTCATTTGCAACTGTTTCTATTTAGATAACTGTAAGCATGTAATGCAAATTAAGGTTGATTGTCAGTTCCAATAATCTTTACAAAATTTAAATTAGTGGAGCTTGCTTGGAGGCCAAGATGGGCACAGAGGTTGAACAGGCTACTGGCCATATTCAGACTACTGTAACAACTTCACCTGCAGCATCAACTAGTGGCCCAAAGGTTTCTATGTTTTCAAGAAAATCTGGATTTGTTATACCGAAAAACAAGTTGTCAGGTTCACTGGTTCCTGTGTTCCGAGGTGGTAAAAAGGGAGATAGAGATACAGTCAATGAAGAAGGCACTAAACCAGTTCAAAGAAAAACCAGATGGAGTCCTGATCTAACCATGGATACTTCCGTTAGGAAAGGAAGAGCGTTGGCATATCAGGTACTTGGACTTTAATATTATTATTCTTCATATTTAATCAATTGCTGTCTAGATTCCCCCACCTCCAATCACAAAAGATACGTGGTTATTTTTTTGTTGGTCTCGTTATATTTCTTTAACTTGGTTATGTTGCTTTGAGGATTTACTTATATCTAGTATGAGTTCAAGTTCATAGAAATAGGTTGAATGCAGTTGTATCCAATATGTGGGAGGAATAATTTATTTTTTGGTGCAATTGAAGATTTTTTCCTTTTGTGTCAAGTGCAAATATTGCATGAACTTCGTAACAAAGGGGCTACTAGGTGATGATATTGCTGCTTTTGTGATTTTACATATTTTGGGCAGACTCGGGTTGATCAAATAACACAACAGCTGAGTTTGGGAATGTTGGAGACTGAAGACAGTGAGGACTCATTATCAGCATCACAAATTCAGGACAGGAAGTCTTTAACTCGACGGCACAATAATGAGGTGAATTGACATTAAGATACTTCTACTTTGGTCTTTCAAATGTCTTTTAACATTCAAAGAACTTACTCTATGATATGGGATTTAGAAATCAGAGTTACTGGAACTTGAAAGGCGTGAAGCTATTGGTATGTACATTGATGACTACTCAGATTTTTGTGCTTTCCTTAGTTTATGGTTTTTATGGTCAATTTTATTCTGTTCATTTGTCAATTTTCAGGCGAGATACTAAAGTTAAATCCAAGCTTTAAGGCTCCTGCAGATTACAAACCTCTGCTGAAAGAGGCAAATGTTCCAATTCCAGTGAGTGAACATATTTACTAGCATTTGATTATTTGCCATTTGCTTTCTGTTTTGTAATATTATAATTAGAGTAAAATTCTCCATAGTTCAGGTTTTCTCAAGCTCTCAACAAGATTCTATGGTGTTTACAGAAAATCGTGATTTATTTTACAATAATAAGCCTCTGAATGAAAATTTCGTGATAAGGATAGTAGGATTGTATGAGACCTTATTCCGGGATGCATTGTATAGTGCGTGTGGAGAGAAAGGAACAGCCACTGTTTTGAAGACTAAACAAGAACTACAGAGCAGTTCAGAGAATTGATCTATTTGACTATGTATAGTAGGTAAAGTACTGTGGCTAATAACCATATTGAAGGGTTGCCTAATTTCATGTTGTTTCTGTACTGTATAAACACTGATTACTTATAAAAAAAAAAAGCATCTGAATGAAAATAAGGAACTCTTTGTTACCTTGTTTTACAGTGAAGTATTTCGATGGAACTACGTAACCGCCCATCTTGTCAAGTGTTATCCTATGTTTGGTACAAGTTAAGATGGTTGACAACTTAAAACATGGAAGTGTGTAATATATGTAAAAACTGAAATTCTATGCCTGAAGTAGAAATGATGACACTGTATCTAATGTGCAGTTTATTTAATGACAAGAGGAAGGCCAAAAGTATGACTTGATGTTTAGAGAGGGTATTATGGCTTGGAGTTCATCTAATGATACTTTGGTTTCTGTATTGCAGAGATAACAAAACATTTAAAACATCTCATTATGTGATAGATTTTTATGACTTTTTATTAGCTCCTACTCTTGACTTTTAAATATTCATCAAACGGATATAGTCATATTATTCTTATTAGCATCAACAAGCTTGATTTTGTATGGAAGTAGTAGTCATCTCAAGAGCCTTTATAATTCCGTCTTTGCAGATTAAAGAATATCCTGGCTACAATTTTATCAGTTTAGTGTTTGGCCCTGCAAGTGATACTCAAAAGCGACTGGAAAAGGTACACGTCCATCATTATGAAAGCTTTGGATTTCAATTCTTGATTTGTTAAACATTCAATAGTCAGCGCATGCAATAATATATATGAACCTAAAAATCAGGAAACAGGAGCAAAGATACGAGTATATGGCACAAGAGCTGATACAGGAGGGAAGGTAATGCGGCTTTTAAAAATAAAATTATTTTTCACTATCTAATTTTGGATTTTTCTTTTTTCCCTTTTTATGTGTTTAATAGGCTAAAGTTATGGGTAGCATGTCCATCCAATATTTCCTCCACATTAGATGTGACAACTTGTAGATGTTTTGATACCTTAACCACTAGGACTACCTTGTGGTCTCAGACTCTCACCTTTATTAGACCATACATAGTAAAGAACTTTTATCTCTTGGTCAAACTGCAAACCATCCTCCTTGGAAAAATTCAAAAGAGAAACCTTGTTATATGTATACTTTTTATTTGATGTCTTCATCTTAGGTTCTGTTGGTTCAGGCCATGCATGCTATTTCTGTATATGGCGTCATATTCAAGCTGATTATAATTTTCTTATTGCTTCAATCTCAGATCGAAGTCACTTCTAGCGACGGGAAGGAAATGCCTGGTGCTTATGATGAGTTGTATATTCATGTATCAGCTGATACGTATGAGAAAGTTGATGCTGCAGTGTCTTTGATTGAACTGTTAGTCAACCCAGTTTCAGTATGTTCGAATTCTAAACCAACCAAAATATATACATGTTTATGTTTGTTCAGTTCTAATTTGAAGTTTACTTGTTTTAATTAAGCTCTTTGCTTTGCATTTTTCTGCTGATTAATTCAATTACTTTTTGCTTCATTTCAGATGAATCTGGCACCTCTTTCAGAAACATTGGCAACAGCTTCTGGTGATAATGTTGGTAAATCTGATCCTCCGACTGAAGGCATACCTAGCTCCTACATGCCACCTGCACAAATGAACCATGGAGTGGTAAGACCTGTACCGCCTCTTATGCAAGGTCACTTTCCGCAATATCCACAGCCATGGTTTCCTGCAGGTCCAACTCAGATTCCAATACATCCACGCTCTACAACAGTTGCTTCTGCACCTTTACAACATATGGTAGCCCAAATATCTTCACCTTCCAGTCCCTCGAATATGCCTTCACAATTCGGTCCTCAACCAGTTTTGGCATCAAGTTTTAATAGAGTACATCAAAATCCTTCTTTCCTTCCTTCCAGACCACAGCTACCCCATGTTTTACAGCCACCATACACGCCTCAGGCACACCCTCCTGGTCAATTTGGCATTCCAAGTAATTTTCCCACGTCAAGTTTACAGTTAACAACTGCTTTACCTGCACCAACAGGGCCTCCCCAAATGGTGAAACCAGTCATGTCCGCATTGCCCCAATCACCATTGAGCAGTTCAGCATCTCAAGGTCAAATCATGTTTCCAATGGCTCCATCAACTGTTCCCTTTCAAAGACAGCCTGTGGCTTCACATCCCATGGTTGTGTCCAGAACTCCACCAGTAAATATATCAGCTATACCCTTTGCAGTGACATCTTCAACACCACCTCTTTCACAACATGGGAATGCAAATTCTGTTTCTGGAACTGCCCCGAATTTTGAGACAATGAAACCCCCTTCTCTAGTTGTACCAAGACCGCAACAACCAAATTCCAGTGACTTCACTTTTCAGCCTCGGGGGCCTCAAAATCTAGCTTCTCGGCCAGGTATTCAACCTGCATTCCAGATTATAACCCCCGGAAATGAAACAATGCGGGCACCTCTAACACATCAGTCTCCATTGATCCGGCCATTAGTAAATAACTTGAATCATCCTGTTCAAGGTTTCCCGAGACCTCAGGTCATCCATCCAATAAGTCAACCAAGACTGCAAATACCTATGAACTTTGCCGGAAGTTCAACTGCCTCTCCAGTTCCACTTAGACATCCAACATTTCCTTCTCCAGGTGCCAGTTCACCATCTACATTCCCCCGAACACCAAGAAATTTTAGTCCTGCTAATCCAATTGTCAATTCTGTTGGTCCATTTCCTCCCAGAGCAGGAAACCCGATGCACCATCGGCAAAATTATCCATCTGGAGCAACTCAGCCACAAAGATTTATGGCTCCACCTCAACATTTTAGCAACAATCCTGGCAGGCCACCTTTTAGTGCTTCTGGAGTGCAGCAATCATATGATCCCCTCTCGCCAACTTCAGTTTCTTTCAACCCTCATATGGGCGGTGGTACAGGAAAAATGCAACAGGAGAATGATCCAGAATACGAGGACCTGATGGCCTCCGTAGGAGTTAAATGATATACAAAAAGGTGCACTTGTGTTTAAACTTACAGAGTTGGTAGTAAAACTGACTATTTTTTAAGTCCTATAGATTATTTTGCCCCGTCTTTAAGTGTATCACATGAGATACTTTATTGATCTTCGCCTTTTCTACTAATTGTTGAATGTATGTTAACATTCACTCTGTGGCGAGTGAAGACACAGTAAGCCTAGACAGAAGTGTTCGATGCAGCATTTATAGGCTGCCATATATACGATGGAGTAGAATACATTTCTCAGTCAGTAAATCACGATTCTTGCCTTGATTATGGTACTAATGCATGATACATAAATTCCCTTCGTCAATAGTTGTCAATAAAGTTGAGACAATCAGACAGCAAATTGTGTTGGTTCTTGAGATTTCATTTGTGGGTGAGTGTAAAATTTTAGCTCAAATGGATTCTTCTTCGTTGCAATTATACAAATTCAAACGAGAAGAAAGCTACATTTGACAAGTTTATTGGAGCAAAGTTCCAACCATAGTAATATGTACATGTGATCAGATACGTACAGCAGCAGTTCAAATAAAATGCAAACCGGGTCAGATGTGAACGCCCTCTTAAGTTTCTCAGCCTTCGAATACAGTAGCTATCCAAAAGACATTCAAACAGAAGGACTGGATCTGAGAACCCTCTCAAGTTTCTCAGCCTTTGCATAATCGTTGTCACTGAGAGGACCAGCTGGAAAAGGTGAGATTTCGATTATCAAGTGTGGTGTTGGAAGCTCATCGAATAAAGCTCTTACATTGTTGCAACATACGCTTTCTCCATGAGCATTTTCCCTCCTAATTTGACAGCCCTAGAAAAATAATATGAAGTTTGTGTAAGTACCAGTAACAAATTGGTTTCCAAATTATTTCTAAAGCAGAGAACATGATAAACGAAAATGGAACAAACAAAAAGGGTGTATGACATTGATGGCGTGTTTTTATAGGGAGGATCGGATGATAAAAGAAGTTAAAATCTTGTTTATTATAGTATCAACCGTACTCAGTAATGTATACCAAACATGCATCGAGTGACTAGTATTACCTTGTGGGATGTGGCATCTCTAAAGTGATCATCATCTGACAGTAAAGAAGCAATGGACTTAAGGAGACGCCTCCCTTCGGACTTGGATGGGACCCTGTAGTTGCGCCTAAGGGTACCCTTTGTTGTTGGATGCCATTTGCTCACAAATTTTCTTCTTTCAGTAGCCTCCTTTTCTGTTTAAAAGAAAATCTTCAACCTCAGTACTAGCCTGTTATTTACTACTCAAGGGTACTTTTCTCATGAAGATTGAGGCATAAAGTTGAGCATAGTTCTCCAAGGTGGAAACAACACAAGTTACAACCGCAACCCCTCATTTTTTTCAGATTATGTATACAATTTGACAAAGCTAAATTCCCAATTCACGACTTTACAATCTTAAGGCACCTCCAAACTCAAGAGATTTTCAGGAAAATAAAGAAGATAATACCCATATAACATCAAAAAATAAGCAAATAAATAGGTAAAGAAACTAGATTCATAAGATTTCAAGAAAGGCCCACGAACCCGGTCCGCTCTGTAACTCCTCAATCCACCTTGAGAAACCAAAATTATCATCTCCACTCTCCAAATCTACCAAGAAAACATTCAGATTAACAAAAAAGAAGGAAAACCATTAACCCACATAAACATATCCAAGAAAAATCTTTTGACTTTTAGTTCTACTTAAACATATGGTACAGATTTAAAACCTGAGACAAGTGGGTTAGCAGGAGATCCAGCAAGGCCAGCTTTCAAGAGAGCATAGAAAATGCAAATCCTGCCAGCCCACAAGACGGGGGTCTCGAGCAAAGTGGCTTTAGTGGATGTAACATTGTTGAGTGAACTCTTACTTGATTTACTGAACCTCCAATCAAGAGATTCAAGACTGGGCAGAAAAAGTGTTTTTGGCAAGCAAAAAGCAGGTTTTTGAGTTGGATTCTTGGAATAACAATAGCAGTGATTGTGCGGTTGGATCAGTGATGAGAAGATAGTGGCGGTTTGTAGAAGCATTGCTGAGAGGTGTGTTCTGACTTTCTTTTACATTATTATTATTATTAACTCTTAGATGCGGTGTCGTATCTTGAATACATGAAAAGAAGGTATTTATCTTTATTGAGATAAGATTTGTCTATTTATCTTTTCAATTTGCTATTTTATATTAATTATTTTATTCATGTTAATCTAGTTTGGGAAATATTTATAAAAAGAATGAATGGAGAATAAGTAAGAATAATGCTATGTGTACACAAATTTTCACACAATCTTTTACACTCCCCTCACATGGAGGGGGGTCCACACATAATAAAATAATCGTGGGCCCCCCT